GGTGGAGGAGATTTCTTGAGAGGGGCAGAGGGGAAGGTGGAATCCTCCGCCCTTGCCTTTGGGTGCCCAGTGTCGAGGGGCTGCTGTCCCGCTCTGGACAGGGAGAGCAGAGCAGGGCGGTGTCAGGCTGGGTGTCAGGGCCTCGAGGCTGCGTGTTGAGGTGCCGAGCTGACTGTCGGGGCAGGGCGCAGGCTGCCAGGGCTCAGGGGCCTGCAGGGCTTCAAGTCTTCGAGGCAGTTGGGGAAGGTGGGATGGTGGTTGGACCCCACCAGCACCCTGGGGAACCTGCACTCGTGAGGGTGGTGGGGGGAGCTCTGGCCTGTGTGGACCACAGCAGCCGTTTGGGGCCCTTGGAGGAGCCCGGGTACAGGTCCAAGAGCCCTGGTAACACCCTCGGCCTTCCTGCGTCAGCAGGTGGGCCCTGGCACCCGCCTTGGTTCCCTGTGCTAAGGGCTCGGCTGTGGGAGATGGCTGCATTGTGCTGGTGTGGGGAGTCAGACGGTGTGCTCCCACCAGGACTCCCTCTTCATTTTCTTACTCTGGTTTTGCAGACTACACAGACTACAATTAATTCTATCCCTGACAGTTTTGCAGTTTCTGGATGCTTGAAATGGCATTTTAATCTTTGACAGACAGATTTGGCCCTAATTATTTTTGTTCCCACATCTCTTCCTTCAACATACGTTCTCCTAGCGTTTGTCCGTTTCAGTCCCCCTTCAACTACCACTTTTTTTTCTTCATTTCTATAGTAATATCTTTCATTCAGTTTCTCCGATTCTTTCACACCTTTTGTTTTTCTGTCTTTTCTTCTCCTTTTCCATTTTATTTGCTTCTCAACATCTGCTCTTGAAGCTGGTTGGTGAGGTTCAGCTCACACTTCTTGTCAAAACAAATGAAAACAGTAGTTTTAAGTTTAATTTAAGCTAATTTGATGTAAAGATAATTTGGACAGAAAGTGTTGACAAATCAAATTTAAACAGAAATATGACTGTATGTACCAAGCTGGCCTTTGCCTAATCCTCATCTTAAAATATGAGTTCTCATCTCTTAGGGGTTATTGCACTGACTCAAATTTAGTAGGACCCTGGGCATTCCTCAGTCTTCCACAAGGACGAGTTGTTCATGTAAGGGAATGAAGAGTAATGAAACTGGTTTTGATTCAACCTAGAACATGTTGTATAATCCTAAATTACACTTTTTAACTTTATTTGGGAGTTATGTGATTCCCCTCTCCTGTTCAAGAAATTTAATGTAATTTAAAATAAAATGCCACCACAAAGCAAAAATGCCCACAAAGGATTTAGGATGTCTAAAAATATCTTCTAGGTTTTTTAGTGAAGGCTACTTGTTAAAATCCATCTGAACTAAAATATCATTTTAACCCCCCTCACATTTCTTTTGTGTAATTGTTGTGCCCCTTACAGACCCTTGCAAATATACAACTTACTCTACTACTGAGTAGAATTCTGCACCTATAAAACTATGGTCTGAGTAGTATTCATGTGATATTAAGAAAATGAAACGGCTTGAACCATAGCCCAATAAATAATTTTTACCAGAACCACAGTGTTTAAATAATGCTGCCAGGAGTATGAAGTAATCTGTTCTTCTACTCTTGAGTAGCCTCAGTGGGGAAAAAAATTAAGGTGTAACAGATATTCACAAAGACACATAAAATTAGTCAGAATTCTATATTTTATGCTAAATATATGGGTTTTTTTAAAAAAAGACAAACAATTAGGAGAGTTATTTTTGTTTGCAAATTGGACTATTTAGAGAAGACGATTCCAGAGGAAGCAGCAAAGTTACTTAGGACCTGATCAAACAAAATGAGATCATCATTTCGTCAAAGAACCACATCTCTGACCACAACAGTGCATTACAGGTGGTACTTTCCGAGCTATATGGGTGCACGTAGACATGGAGATAAGTGTCTTGGAGCATTTTCAAAAGCAAACAAATGTGTTAAGTACTGTTAGGCTGTGAAGAAATTGTTTTCATTAAAAAAACACAGAAATTTTCCCTAATGTTTCTTGGGAAATTGGGCAGAGACACTTTTATTCCATTGTGAGGATTTATCGGGCTTTTTTGTTTTTACAAACAATCTTGATTTGAAAATAAATAAAATAATCAACATCCCAAAAGTTTAAGAAAACCTTTATTTCAGTCTCTAAGTCAGATGCTCTGTTGTGCAGCTTTAGGTGCTGCTATATCCTCTACCTACAATGTTAATATGGCAGCTAAGATTTTTTTTTAATATATTTTAATGCATAAGTTAGTTTTGTACTCTGATTTGTGATCTAATTATTGAGAAATATAACTAAATGATATGACATGAATGGAAAGCTAAAAATACTATAAAAACCCAGTTAGAAATATGCAGTTGCTAGAGACTCGAACAATTATTTTTTTAATATTGTAAAGCACTTAGTAGGCATTGAGCATAAATACAATTACACTTCTTTTAAATTACCTTAATCATGGAGAAAATGTAGACATTACAGGAAACAAACTATGGTATCTACTTAGATTTAAATTTTAGTATCTTGTAAATCTTTAGAAAATACATGCCAGTGTCATAGTAAATTCTGAGATAAAAACTAATATGTTTCATCATGTTGCAGTTCATTCTGGAAACAAACTCACCCACTTACTACAGACCACACGATTATTTTATTGGGTTATAGTAGTTTCTTTATATAGTTAAAGACTAATGACTGGGGGTTTTTGAAGGTAACTTAGTATTTCTCAGCATTGTTTAATATGGCTGAGCGCTGGTTAGTATTGCTTATGTTAACTGTAAACAGCTCAATAACATTCTGATTCCTGATAGTTATGAAGATCAACTTTTAAGTCTTCTACCATAACACAGCGGTGAACTCAGATGATTGTTTCCTCCATATTTTAGTGACAGAAGATAGTAAGTCAGAGCATGGCCCAAAAACCAGAGATACTAAAAATTCCTCGAAGAACAGAAGTATCAGAAGCAGCAGCTGTAGCAGATGCAATAATTGTAGGCGACACAGTAGAGAATACAGAAGTGAAAATTCTCACACTAACTATTCTGAGGGCTTTGTCAGAGACTTGCTCTGAAACAGCTAGAAGCGGCAAATGTTTAGAAATATCAGGAATGGAAGAGAAGAAGACACAGGAAAAGGAAAAAAAGAAAAAGAACAAGAAGAAAAAAGGACAGCGTATGTTCCCCCAAGATTATGAAAAAGGTACTTTGTTTTCTGGTAGTAGCAAAATGAGGCTGTCTTGAGAAATATAGCTGTTCCCTTTCTTTGGCATTTTTTCAGTAATTAGGAAGACCAGGGAAACAGTTTTTTAGTGAAGAAAAATAATAAATCATGTTTCAAACACTAGGAAGGGGAGGGAAGAGAGACAGAGGTTCCCTATTGTGTTATCCCACAATACTGGGTGATCCAAGAGGCAAGATAATCACCTGAGATGTGGGAACATCTTTGCAATCCTTATTCTTCAGTTTTAATCTGAGGACTTGAAAATGGCTCTCCCACATATGCTGCAGTTTCTTGTTTTGACTGTGCATCACATGATGAGTCTGAAAAAGCCTTTCCTGAGGAAAGCTACTCAAAAATTATATGTCTGCACAAAAGTGTCAGTTTTGACAAAAAAGCCACGTTTTGGCCAGTTTAGTCATGGTGTATCATGTGAAATTAAATTTGTGCTTCAAAGGAATGACCATATAGCACAAATATATTCCCTTAACATAAATGTTAACGGTGAAGAATCTTTCCATGTCTGCATGTTTTCCTATCTAGGCCCATACTTCCTTAAATCCCACGTCAAAAAATGAGTGTAAAACCAATGACCCTTTTCCTGCTGGGTATCAAAGTTTCTTCAAGATCTAACAAATCTACAAGATGCAAATCAACCAAAAAAAGAGAGAGGAACCATTGATTATCTCTTCATATAAGTTATATACTGATATCAAGAAGTCATACTGCATGAAAATAGCAGACTAGAAAGAATAACCACATTTTTAAAGTACATTTAGCAGAAGAATCATTATTGGCTACTAACTGTGTTGGATATTTTAAGTGGTTATTTTTGCTTGTTCATGGGTACTTGAAATGATCAGTTTCCCAGGAACACTATTATAATGCACATTTTCACCCTGTATAGACGTGTATAGATTTTGCAGTATTTTGTCAGCTTTTGCAGGAAGGTATTTCCCCATTTCTTTGTCATCTTCTCATTCCATTTTGGCAACATAAAGTAGTAATGTAATAGTTGTTATCATTTTGCAAATATTTGTGTGACAGCATTTGAGATCATATTGTATTCTTCGTGTAGTGGAATTGTATTACCGAGAACACGCAGGTGTGATGCTTGTGTACCTTCCATTTGCTTTAGTTTTGACCTCTGGTGAGTTTTTTTCACAGCACCTGTTAATTTTGCTCACAGCAGAAGGTCTTGAAAGTGTCTGACCTCAACTGATTGCTATCATTTCTTTCTGTTTACTTGAATGTCCGTGATAGTCCTTCTTAATCCATTTAAAACATATATAAAAAAACCCCAAACAAAACAACCAAAACCTGCCCTGCCAGTGCCCTACTTTACTTTTCCTACCGCTGATTTGATGTTGCTTCCTATCTGCAACAGGGTGTTCTGGTTGGGGCCTGCTCCTGTAAAGAGTTTGTGCAGAGAAAGAACACCCATTGGCTTCAACAGAAGTGCCTGAAAAGATCTGTCCTTTTCCTCTGGTGTTTTTTAGGTTAGGACCTTGCCTGTTTTATCTATAAATGTTACGTGATCTAGAAATTATTATAAAAAGCTTCTAGCACAATACTGCCTGAAATGTCTTGAGAGCTATATATGCTTGAAAAAGGCGAACACACTCAAGTTTAGAGTCTTCACTATTTTCACATTCTAATTATAATTCAGGAAAGCAAAATGAGAGTGATTCACCCAGAATGCTGGCCATAAAGAAAGGCAAATGGTAGTAATATACTTAGAATGCTAGCTCAAAGAGTTTTTCAATTGCCATATAGAAGCAGGGTACACAACTGCATAACTGTTCTAATAAAAGCATGTGAGGTTTAAAAATCTAGTTCATTTCAAAGCTGACTTGAAAATTCTGGAAAGCTGGTTAGAAATCCTAACTACAGGAAAATTTAACCATGTGCTGTTGTGATCACCTTGGTTTTTGAGTTCTTGCAGACCTGTAGATGACTATGTTGGTTTTTTTCTATCACACCCCTATTCCAGGTGTAAGTCCTCCCTCTTGGGAATCTTTATGGATGGGTTGAGTTTGGTTGGGATGCACAGTCCGCAGATCATGCCTGCATTTGTGAACTGCATGATTTACAGACAGAAAATTGATTGCCATTGATACTGGAGCAATGTGTTAACATAAACATACCTTACTGAGTTGTTTCCAGAGTATTATTGCTGTTTGCCTCAGAAGACACCACCTGTGTAGTTACCCTTGCTAATGGAAAGTGAGCATGATGGCTGTTTTGAATGAAAATGGCTTCAGAGAACGAAAGGAGGGAACCTTGACCTCCTATAGACCTCGGTAGCTATGGCTTAGTGCAGCCATATAAATGCACTTACAGAGATACAAACTCTTCCATGGATTTATCTGTGAAATATTTGAACATTGGAGTCTTAGTGTAGATCTTAAGCATTTTGTCAAATATACCCCAGTTAAACAGCTTGGATGAGCAGTATATGAGCTTATGTGAGCAGTAAAGACACACAGTGATTCTGCTGTCTTAAATGATTGCTCTATATCAATGCCAGTTTACTTTGGTCTGAATACAGGAGGAAAAATATTACCAGCTGAGAAGGTACCACATCAGAGTTCTTCATTTTTAAGCCTGCAGAGCAGTATGATTTCCCAGAAAAAAAATGCAGTGGCTCAGAGAATATCATCAGCAAGACTTCACAGATTAAAGAGCTGAAGAATGAAATATTTGATTTACAACACAAATTAGAAGCATCAAGCTTAGAAAACCATGTTTTGAAACAGCTTCATTGTCGACACTCAAAAGCAATAGGTAGATATCAAAATTCAAAAAGTATCTTGGCAAATCTTTTAGAAAGTCATTATAATGAGGTGAGAAATTTAAGGGAACTCCTGAGGATATCTCAGGAGAATGAGAGAAATACATCCAGGAAGCTCAGAAAAGTTGAAGCAGAGCTGCTAAAAGCTAAAGATGCTTTGCAGAACTTGCATATGCTTTCAGAAGACACAACTCTTGGAGAGAGAGAGAAACCTGATCACAGATTATCTGTCCTTGCAGAAAAAATGGAAGTGAACAAAAAGAGAATACAGGTAATATGTGCATATCATTGTATTTGTGGAACAATAATAGGAGAGGTTTCTGTTCAAGAATAGGGGAAAGGTTTTAGCGTCTTCTTGGCACATTAATGATTCTGATAAAATCCTGTAACATTGAACATTCTTTTTAATCCAGTGCTGTCTTGAGTGTAAGATGCTAAAAATGGCAGTATCCCCTCCCAGTATTTTGAAATCTGTCAGAAATGTATGAGTAGATTAGGTTTGGCAGTAAAGATCTTTTATGAGTCAAGTCGTATGCCTTAATCCACGTCAGAAACGTGGCATATAGCTGGAGAGCAATCTTCAGCAGAGTGTCTGCTCTGCTCCCTGCCAGCAGCATGGGGTGCCCAGCCTTGCTTGGGCCCTTTAGCCACAAGAGCACGGACCCTGATTTACCTTGGCAAAGCAGAGGATTAGTCATACATGGAGACCACCAGGCTGCTGCTGATCTACTTCCTTGAACAACCAAAGCTGGCTTGTCTGGAACTAGCACTGTTATTTTTATATGGTGTCGGTGGGCAGTAGGGACATACCCACATCTCCTCTTCACTAATTACTGTCACTCACTGTTGTTGGCTGTAGGGCCGCTGCTGAATTAAGCAGTAGTCAGGCGTCCTAGATTTTATGTTTGGTTCTTCTGTTGGTTTATGGTGCAACTGTAGTAAAAACCTGCTGGGAGTTTAAGAGGAGATAATTAATCTCCTTTTAATATCTCTCTTACTGAGCCTTTCACAAAAAGACAGGAATATAGTTTTTAATACAAAATTGGAAGAGTGAAGTTTCCACTGTCCTCCAGGAATTAAATTCCAGTTCCTATGGGATATATTATGCATAGAATTAAATAAAGAGACAGGCAATCTTAGAAGCATTTCACCATCTGAACAACTAGGTCTGAAGTACATTTATTACATGAAAGAAAATTAAAATATGAAACGCTGAATTCAGACTCTCTTTTGAAAACTTTCTGTTTACAGAAGTCCTAGTGAGAAGCTATAAAAAGCATGCAGGCTTGGGTATCCACCTTACAGTTTTAGTAACCATAATTTCAGTGTATGGCACTGAGTTCTGATGATAAAGTACTCAATAAATTACCTAGTTTTAATTTACACTAAGCCTCCTTATGCTGCTGCAGTTAATAGATCTCAGTGTGAGCAGAAATGTTGTGTTAACATTTCTCAAAGATGATTGTATTTATTAATCCATCAGAAAGGTGATGTACAGCCTTATTTTTTATGTTTGAATGCCAAATATACTGTTTTTGTTTACTAAAATATGTTTTAACCCAGGTTTTGCTCATTTCTAAAGTAATTTTTCAGATACTTCATCATAATTTAATGCATTGTTTACAATAGAATATGATTATTAGAAGCGTGCTTTTAATTATTTTAGCATGTTTATTTTTTAAATCTGGTAAGAACTGAAATTTTTCAACAGTCATACTGAGTATATCAATATGGTAAAACATGTAATTTTTTTAAGAGCCTAGAAAAGCAGCTGAATTTGAACAATAGCACCTTTATCCAGCAGCTGGCAAATGAGAACAAAAAAGCTGTGGAAGCTGGGATAATTACAAAGAACTTGCAAATGGAAATTAACTCTCTTCACCAAAAAATTAAGGTATGCAAGATTTTAAACAAGTTTCTGTTCCTACAAGAAAAATAAAGTATTTAATTTTACCTATTTAATTTTACCTATTTTTCTTTTATATTATTTAGTAATGGAATTTTTGTTTCCTAATTGAGTCTATAGTCTACCAAAAAAAGGCAAAATATCAAATGATTAAATTCTTGTAGGGTCTCAGTAGTTCAATAACTGATCAAAAGTTCAAAGTAGTTCAATAACTAATCAAAACAGAGATTAATGCATCACAATTTGAACAAATAATCCACACCAACTTGATATATCTAGGTCAATGTATTCATCTACTATCTTTAAGTGAGCTCCCTAACAGAAAAACTTTCAAATCAAAATGAGCCAAATACTGCAATCTGCAAATCTAGAATTTAACAAAAAGACCTATGTAAATGTTTCAGCAGTTTGTTTAAATTCCAGATTGGTTTTCAGACAAATATTTTTGGGACAAATATTTCCAGTTCAACTCTTACTGTAATGCTTGTAAACCAAACATACAAGAGAACCTAAAATTGACACTAACTAGAAATAGAAACAAAACTGCCATGAATGGTATGTCATAGAGGTTGTAAACAAGAAAAACAGTACATATTCCAGAAAATGTGAAAACCCTTGTAACTTTTTAGTAATTTAAACTGGTTTGTAACACAGTTAAAATAGACTTTTTTATTTCTATGTAAAGTGACCAATCCATCTGTTGGTGATCCCGTGACGGAGCTTTCTCTTTCTAAATGGAATCAAATGTCTGTGAATCAAATGTTGTTATGGGGAGTTTTCCCAGACATTGTGAAGGGCAGAACTGGCAAATCCTGAGGATTCGTGGAGATTTACATTTCTGTACAGGGGCATTGTTTGTCCCTCTTACCTATGGATCAGGTGCAGACACTTTCCTCCTGATATTTGGCAGCAGCCAGGCTGCCTAGCTGCAAAAGCCCTGTTGGGAAAGGGAGAAAGTACAGTGCTCTTCCTGGGCCCCTTATCAATGCTCCTGACCAGCACTTGCAGTGCTCTTTACCTGCTAGAGTCTGATTTCCACCTAATAGGTGCAGATCTGGCAGATGGGAATAATTATAGTCCCAGGAACACTAATATAAAACTGTTCCAAAATGCAAATTAATCCAAAGAACAGTGCTCACCTTCACGCTTCTCTAAAAGATCTCTATTGTTTAATGTATTTTCTACATGATTTTCTATGTGTGTCCAGTTGTCTTAATGTTGTATTTTCAGATTCATAAAACCTTCTGTTGTTTACCACAAAGAAGACCAGACATGCTTCTTAACCTTATTTCTGTGCCAGAACAGAGTTTATTCTTACAAATTCATAGTTTTGGTTACCTGGCTTACTCAGACCACTCAAGGTATTCAGACACGCTTTCAGCACACCCTGTATCTCCAAAGTAAATGCAGCTCCTATTTTTCACATTAAAAAAATGATATTATGAGAGTGTTACTGAAATCTCTCTTCTGTGTTTAAGACAGATTTCAGTAAGGAAAGAGGACTCTTGCTAAATGGATTTTAAAAGTGTGCCTCTTAAGTTTATGTCATCTCCCAAGCAATAGGTTGTAAAACAGAACTGAGCACATTGTAACCAAAAGCACTGAGTAAATAAACCTAAAAAAAAAAAGTAAGTAAAGCCAAAAATTGTTTAGTCTGAAAAAAATAACTCAGAACAACAAATGAAAAAATCATTGGAGAAGACTTTTCTGAAAGAGAAGAGAGAATTTTCTGAAAATTGTTTTATGAGAAAGATCTTGTAGGTGTACAGATGTGTTCTTAGCCTTAAAAAGGGAGAATTTTGATTTGGCTCATGAGAAAAATGATAGATTCCTATTTATGTAAAAGACAAAATCACCACATATCCAAGCACAAAGCAAAATCACTGTCAGTTTTCTCCCAACGTGGGAAAATTACATTGGTAAAATGTAATTCTTAATGCACATTAGAAGTTTAATAGTGTTTATTTCTTCTTAGGAAAAGGATCGTCAACTTTATGTAAGAAATATATATGCAAATCAGATGCCTAAAATTCCAAAGGACAAGAGTGATTCAATACCTCATGAAAAAAGTAAGTGTATATTCATTTTCCTTTTTGTTTAGCTATGTGAAACGTACATTGTTTTATAACTGGGACATATATTCCAAAATAAAAGCCAATATAGTACTTTCATATGGTCTAAAAATATTCTGTCATATATAATTTAAAGAGAACTGCTTGGTTTTTTGCTCATTTATGTTGTGAATACAAATACATGGCCTATTTTAATATTTAACCCAATTTTCATCATTAATAGCTTTTATCATACACAGTTTTAGTATACAAACAGTGATAGTAGCGCTGCTATTTTAAGGGTCTGTTTGCCTCAAGAGCTGTTTGCCTGTTTGTTTGTTAACAAGGTGAAGCTATCAGTCCACAGAGCTTTTACAGCTTAATTTTTGTTCAGGCTGTTCTCTTTGACTTGGCCTGGAGAAGTGACCTCCCTAGACCTAGAATTCCCACAACATGGCTCACTAACCCAAAGCACTTCACGAACAACCCTCCTGTAGCAACTTCCTAGCTCTAGTACAGACTTTCAAAGTGCTTTTATATGAGCAAAAATAATGAATTTAATTTGTTCTTTAAAAACAATTTTCGTACCCTAAAAATCCTTAGACTCTGTAACTCACAAATAGCAGAGGTGATTCAATGTCCATTATTGAAGCTCTTGCAACTTGCATTTTGTTGGGATGAAAGGAGAGGAGGAGATTTCAGATACAAGGTTCAGGAAATTCAAAGGCCAGTCTGATGATCATTCTGTCAGCTTATCTGAGGGAAGAGAATGTTTATCCTTAGTAGTCCTTTGGTTTTTAGCGTAAGTAAATTTAAATGGGCAACTAGAGACCATTATAACCCAGTTATTGTATATCTTCTCAGTTAATTCTATGCGCAGAACTGATCTTATTTAGTATAATATAGTAGATTGATAGAAAAGAACAATGGAAAGTTAATTCTATCAAGGAAGAAAGATCTCTTTAGTAAAGAGTATTTCTTCCACATGGATGCTCAGACAGGTATTGGAGAGAAATATCTACTAGATGCCATCTTGTCTATCAACGATTCCAAAAGCAGCTACCTTGTGTGGGATTCAACTGCCTAATTATAGGCATCTAGTGCCATTTGAGATGTCCTAGCACATTCTTCCTGGCCCTGTAGAAGGATATGGGTGTCCCATCGGTCCCATGTAATGTGTGTGGATACCTTGAAGGTACTCGAGGGCATCTCAGATAGCATGAGGCGCCTGTGCTCAGACAAGTGGATCCCACCTCTGGAACTGAGGGAGCAACAGCTAAAAGCAATTACAGATCATACAAGCCAAGAACTGTTACGTTACGTATGTGGTCATTATGTTCATGAAGGACAAAAATGTTGAAGAAGATAGTTTTCTTGAAGCACTTATAAATTTCTAATTGTCACATGCTTTAGATGTAGTATCTAGAATTTACTAATAAATGTGTCTTATACAGAAACTAATAAACGGATTTCAAGTACTTTCCCCACATTGAGAGTAATATTTTGCCTCCTACTGAGAATTGGAAGCATTCTGTCAATATCCTAAAGGAGAGCTTTTGACTTTCCTGTGTAAAGCACCTCTTCAAAATACTGGTCAGATACTCCTCCTCCTAAACTGAAGGAGGAACTGGAACTTTCTTCGTATAGGTACAGAAGAGTACTTAAAATTTACATGGCAGCAAGCATATCTGCTGCAAATATTGCACATGTCCACAGAATTCTTCAAATTATGTTATCAGTACAAAGTCTTATCATAGTTAGTTGCTTATTTCTTTCCTCTTCATTGTCTTTGCAAATCCATTACTCTGCCTTAACTACAGGTGAACTACGGGGAAAAGGTCGGTAATTCAAATTGTAAAATAAGAAACACAAATTCCTACTTCTCATTCCAAGTCAGACATGTTTTTTTATGAATCTCTGAATTCCAGCTTTAGTGACGTCACGTAACCAGCTGTGTTTTTTAAAATTTTATTTACATACGGACTTGTACAATATTGTTATTTAAATTACAGTACTTAAATAACTGTTTACTATTTAAGTTCTTCTTTTCTTTAAGCAAGATAAGGCAGCTTAGTTGAAGGGATACCTCATAGTCTGTAATGAAAAGATTCCAAGCAAAATGGTCTGATCTTTTGTTAGTTTTGGCCAATAATGGTTTCATTCTCTGCCAGTTAATGGAAACAGATGATTTAGAAATCTAGAACTGGAATTACTGACAATTGTTTTTCTTTTCCACCGTTGACTTGAATTTTCCTATAAGAGACTTAGAAAGAGCTACTTCTTCAAGTAGTTATTTTCTATTCTGCGTTTGCAAAAATTTTTACCCAGCAGGAAAGAAAAAAAGACATGTGGGGCTGCATTTTTTAAACAAATAGCTGAACGTAGGCTTGCTTAGGTTATCAGAAAGCTCTGTGTACATACATAAAATTGATTTATTGAATGAAGCCATTAATTTCATGTGCTTTTCCTGAGAGCAGTGTGCTCAGTTGTGGGAGGGTCACACCAGTTCGTCTAGAGGTACAGCTCCCCCTAGTTCTGAATCTGAGCAACGCTCCGCTGATCTCTCTTGGAAAAGCTGCCGAAGTGACTACTTGCTGGTTGCCTTTCAAAAGGGAAAATTAATTCCCTCCACGTTATCAGAGCCGTTCCTTCAAGAGTAATCCTCAAATTGGTTATCAACATCCTTTTTACCACCAAACTTCAAACATTCGAAAATCATCATTTTTATGGAGAGTCTTCCTCTGATTTCAGAGATCAAAACTGGGAATAAGATCAAACGTTGACAAAGGGAAGATCCCATTTTTGCTGCTGTTCTAGCATCTTTCTCAGCTACAGTACTCATGTCAAAATTATTCTCAAAATCGATTAAAAGAACAATATACTCACCTTCCCCATCCCACTTCCATTCAGCTCTTTCTTTAAATTTCTCATTCAGTCACTCCTGTGGCATCTCTTTTCAAAGACCATAGATATTTCAAACAGTGTTAAGCATTTCCCCTGAAGAGTTTAGTTCCAGACAGCCTTACGTAAGTGCTTAACTTTGAGAAAGCTGAGTAACCAAGTCAGAGGCATAAAAGCACTCATGTTAATTATAGTCTGTGAGATCTGAATCTAGGAACCTGAAAGCTGAGGCCTCACACCAGACCCCTTAAATTTACGTTAGAATGTTACCATGCAAATTAAGCCCATATAGGCTCTAAGGTATAGACACGTTTGCCTGACTTCACATGTTCTATCTGAAGAGGACTTTTTAAATCTTAAAACTTAAGTATATAATGTATGGATGAAAATGCTCAAAAGTCCAGGTAACTGTTTGTGTTCCAGTTTCAGCATTTATAGATCAAGCAAAACATAATTTCTTCATTAAAGGGCAAAAAAATGTAAATCCTAGGCCACATAGCAGTATTATCAGTCATCAAAGATATCTTTTGTTTATACTGGCAATATAATTCCAGACACTACAGTATTGCTAATGGTTGTCCTTTTTCAATAGGTCTTAGCATAAACAGATCAGTACAAGTAGATAAACAGAATTTTAGATCACTGCTGCTGTCACAGCACCAAACTCAGGAAACAGAAAAAAGTCCAGTTCAGCTAACAAAGGTAGGAAACATCTGGATCCAACGCCTTGTTGAAGCTCTCGGTTAAGCTATACGTTGTTCTGTAAGTTTCAGTAATATCCTGATTAGCCTGATCCATTATCTTAACTTTCTAGGATATGGATTTTGTGTGAATGTATTTATATTACAGAGAATATGTAGAACAGACATTGTAACACAAAAGAATATAACAGAAATTACTAATCTTTTTATAAGTATTGCACTGACTGTGTACTTTTTAAGGTCACTAAACAATTATTCCCTTATTATTTTTACCTTTAATTGCTAATTATAGGATAAAAAGTCTTCTGAAGATAAGAATCAAGAAGCTAAAGCAAACGAAGCATACACAGATGCCCAATGTAGAACAGAAAAGCAATCAACCAAGAAAATACCAAAGCCAGAAACTTTTAATAGAACACATAGAGGTAGATTTTAACATGCTTCCCAGAAGCTCATTTGACCTTTTCAAAAGCTGAATGAACCAATGCTATTGGTGATTTACATGGGTCTGACAACCATTAGGCGGCACCTGACTGACAGGAACTAGTTCAGCAAAATAATATATGAAAGCGTCACTGAAGTCCAGTGAAGCTGCTGGCAGTGCTGCACTGACAGCAGAGCAGCTCCACAGTATACAGCTGTACTTCTAAAAAGAGTTCCTGGTCACGCTGGTAAAAAGTCAGTGCTTCATCTGTAAAAGTATACATCACTTAATCGTTTGTTAATTCCACACTAATCAAATCCTGATCTCAAATTGTTGGTTGTGAATCTTCATCGTAGGTGATGCCAACATATATTTCTGTCTCGGGATCTATTGCTGAAAAAGGAAAAGGACTTCCTCAAGGGCTGGGAGTATCTCCTCATTACAATGATCTATTTACAAATCTTAGCCGTTGATTATGCTCTCATATAACAGTTATATGCAAGGGACTCATCTATTAACACCTTTATTTTGAAGAGATTCTATAGAACAGAAGAAACCAATGCCTCTATTCCTTTATCAGAGTTTTTCTTTCTAAAAATATTAATGTTATTTTAATTATAGTGAGGCTTCTAGAAAGAACCAAGATCTGAATGCCATCATGCAAAATACTTCACAAAGGGTAGGAGACATTGTGTGACCTACAGGTCACACATTTACAGAGGGGAAGCAGGTTGTTGAGGTCACTTACTAGATCAGTAGCAGAGCCAGTAATCTGGAATGCGTTAACTCCTGTGTTTTGTACGCTGCCTTTTCAGCCTGCAACCTTTCCAGACCCCACCAGATAACTGAAGTCACTATTTGTCTTTGAAATCCCCTTTTAAAATTGACAGAAAACACAGGTCTTCTGATTCTGCCACCAGTGAACTCTCTCTCCTCACTGTTTGCCAGACTCAATCCTGTCTTCCTCCCACCGACAATGTCAGGCCTACTTACTGAAGTCTTGTTTAGCTATTTTAGTTATTGCAACTTCATACCTCTCCTTTAAGCTTGGAATCGATCTCATTTTGGAGGTTCTCGTGAGTCTCTCCAAAGCACAGAGCCTATTGCAATTTGTCCCCTGCAGCAGCCAAATGCATTGACTGTAGGCATTCAGTAGACACATACCTTTTTCTACTAAAAATTGGAGCCAACTCATGTACAGGTTAGAGAGTTGCAGTATATTCTACTCCATGCAACAAGCAACTGTGTTGTCAGCTAAGGGAGAGAAAATCATAGGTCTATTTAAGTTCCATTTAAAAGCAAGAAAATTAGTTAGAGTTTAGCTCTCATGTGGTTTCGCTGTTGCACTGTACGTGATTTTTCTGGCCCTTATATTTAGCCATTACTGATTATATTTGCATGCTAATTAATTCGATAAAATTAAACATAATGAAAAAGGCAAAAATTAAGATATTTAGCTGGATTCAATGGCACAATGATTGTGTTTAAATCTTGCCCCATTCTGTTATATTTAGTAGTAAATAGCATTGTCATAACACCCAAGACTGAAATACTATCAATAGCAGCAACTTAAGCAATGAAATAAGGAATTGAAACTTGCTGTCATTAACACTTCATGACTGTCTGTGTTCTTCGGCAATTTAAGAACATTCCTAAAACCCACAATATTTCATTTTAGAGTATTTAAGGAAGGGCAGACTACTGATGGAAGAATACACTTGCTTGGAATTTATGAAAGAAGAAAAAAAGACAGATTTGCTTGGATGGGAGCTGAAGCAGCTGATGAAAACTGAAGAGACTCATCTAAGTGACAGTGTAAAAGAGAACAATCAAGAGGAAGATGCAGTTGAACAACACGAAAAAGAAGAAAAAAAGCCAGATGAACAGCTAAAGAACAGTGAGAAAGCAGGGAGTAAATGTGTAATGCCAGGTCTAAGAGACAAAACACTCATTAGGCTGAAAAAAAATTCCATATTCTCAGAAGCCACTGAGAATTTGCACCATGGGCTTCCTACATCAGGCACAAAACCCCAAAAAGGCAGTCTTTGCAAACATGGACATGCAGGTCAGGGCTGCAGAGAAATGGCTGAATCAGGAGTGAAGAATTCCTTTGGGCTACAGGAACCACCTTTTGGTGAAGTTACGGAAACAAGGCAGAAGGAGAGTTGCACTGAAGCAGAAAGCTGCGTTCATGTGCCATTTGCTGACAGGAAAAACAGACTTATGAAAGAACTCTCTGGACCCAGCTATGTTTGAAGAGACAACCATTCAAGTTCTAACATCAGAGGAATGAAGAAAGAGGAGGGAAAGGATGCAGGATTACATAAGCCAAATTTCAAACCACTGCTACTAACTAGTTTGTAATATTTAGCATCTAACACTAACGAAATTGTCATGAGAATACACAAACTAATTGTTCTGATAGTTAAGTACATCAACTTTACTCTAGAAATATGAATACTTTAAAACTTTTTTTTTAAAAAAAACCCCAGTGTTTTTACCTTCTTTAAATCCATATTAAATCTTACAAGTACTGAGAATTTCTTTCAATTTTCCGAAAGATAGTCAAATCAGTTGTCATTCTTCTGTTCTTGGTCTGTGTGCATGCATGTGCTTCTTAGTAAGAGTGCCTTAACAATTACACTTTTACCTGTGATCAGGTGTCCACATTAGTCATTGTTTTCTAATTACTATTTTATTGCCTTCTCTCTGCAGGTTGAATTTTGAAGCTGATTATTTATTAGCTAACTGAAGTGAGCAATCTGCTTTTCATAAGGTTCATTATTGGGTTAGTACCAACAATGCAATAAAAGAAAATATTTTTTTTATTTTCTTCACTCCTGAAATAGCTTCCAGAATTCACACATAATAAAAATAATTTGCTATTGCATTGTTTTCATTAGCATTATAAAGCTCTAAAGCTTCGTTCTTTTCCACTGTTTGAACTTAGCAAAGCAGTTTGTCTGGTAACTTCCACAGCTGACATCCAAAGATGAATGTGCAAGAGTAGACTATTGTTTTGGAGAAGTCAGGCATATCCAGTTCTCAAAAAGCCTTTAAAAATCCTCTGTTTAAAGTTATGTAAGCTGGGGTAGCAGGATTATGTTTTGTTCCTCATAGTAATTCGTGAAACACTTGCTAGAATGTGAAGTTAGGAAAAATTATGTATATTCTATTAATTTTTAAAGGCAGTAGCACTTAACTAAAAAAAATTCAAAAAATAATACTGCAAAAGCTTTTAAAGGTGATGAAGACATTTAGATCTGAACCTACTTGCAGTATATTTCTTTTCAAAATGTCCAAGGTTTTTCCTGAAGTAATGCTTCAGCCGTACAGTGGACAGGTTTCAAAGCACAACTTTGTGCAGTGGGAAGAGTAGGTGTTCCTCCTCTATGAGCTATCAACACTTCTGCAACACCTCTGCTGCTGTCCCAAAGCTCAGAGCAAACAGGCACAGGTAATCCCACACTCCTGTGTTACTGACGAGGGCACCAAAAGCCTTTTTGCCCTTAATCACCCAGGGTTTGGCCAGAGCAGCCCACAAACTGCCCATGGGATGACCCCATCTGAGTGTGGATAAACAGCAAATGCCCCTGTGAAGATTGTGATTGATACTGCTCTTCTTGACTTCACTGTGTTAAACTCCATAACAGCCAAGTAGAAATATCATTAGCCACATCTTTAGATTCAGAAATATGTCAATGTCATATTGAAATAATCTGTCCCAAATACTTTAAAAAATAATAATAATAAAATAATCCTGTTGATTCCAACAGTATCTCCTTATGCAAGAACATGGGGAGGGGTGTTGGTTTGGGTTATTTTGGTATTTTTTTTTAGGAAAACTGTGATTAACATTGAAAATGGATTGGAAAACCTGAGATGGGTGGAAAAACTTTATTTTGTTAATAAAAACACAATTATACATAACAATCACAACATTTTTTCTTGATGATATTTAATGCATCTATTTTCATGTTGGCTAAATGTAATCTTTAATATAAAACATTTTTTTTTTAAATTAACACTTAAAAAACCAAAACCACTGCATGCATATATACATACACACACACACACACACAAAGTATCATGACCTTTTGAACTAATTTCTAAATGCAGTGCTAATTACAGAGGGGCCCTGGCCCCTTCCTTCCTGCAGGAAGCCAAAGGACCTGCAATAACTTAACAGATGCATTCCACTGAAGCCCAGCAGAAGAGGGAAAGGTGTCCCCTACAGCTTGGTTCAAATTCATGTCAAAAAGTGTGGAACAAGAACTTTATAAACCACCCATGTGTCTTATGGGGCAGCAATGAGAGAGTTGCAGGTACCACTGCAGCATGGAAGATAAGACAAATCTGTTGCTGTTCTACAGGTGTGGGACTGGGAAGAATTCTGTCCACCTTTAAATTCAAAATACTGTGGCTGATTCCCGAACCTAAATACAGGAAGAAGGATTTACTCTAAAACAGAACATTGTTTTCCCTCCTCCTCCTGCTTACTACAATTCTGTTAGTACTTTAGACATTTAAATCACTAATTTGCCTTTTGACATTTACACAGCTGTTTTGGGCTATCCTGGATTGTCTCAAGCCCTCAGAAATGCAGTCCTCCAAAAGAGCTGCACTGCTCTTTCTTAACGTGGCGCTTAAGAGGGTTGGCCAGATCTTTCCTCCCAAAACATGGAAGGAAATAGTTTCAGTGATACTCACTCAGTTTGGGAAGGAGAAAAAATGTCAAGGAATGAAAGGTCAGTTATCAATAAAAGTAGGAAAAAATTCAAGTGTTCAATGAATTCTAAAAGTCAGGGAGGAAAAAGTAGCCAGCCATCCTGTATGTGGCAACTGAGTGAGTCTCATAAGAGATAAAATGTTGATTCTACATGTGTATCAATAACGCATTTTCTAAGACCAAGAATACACCAATTCTGTGATTCTGTGTAATTCTAGTGTAAAAAAAAACCAAACCCAAAACCACAAAACCAAAACCAAGCAGGGAACTAGTTCTGTTTTACCCTAAACCAACCAAACCACCTACCTCTATCCTCTAGTACCACTTGTCACCAAATATAATCCCACCTTTGGGTGAAACTACCATATTATACAGCAAAGAAACAGCAAAACTCCCCAACGAATTCCTAATGCCAGTGCATTTTCAACTTAAAAATACAAATCCAACTGTGGTGGTCTGACCCACAGTGGGACCATGTGGTCCTGCACTCACTCCCCCCACCTGGTGAGATGGGAAGGGAATCACAACAAAGGGGCACAGATTAGGACAAGGACAGGGATGTCTCACTCAGCAGTTATGGTCATGGGCAAAACAGACTCACCTTGGGGAAGAAAAATCAATTTAATTTGTTGCCATTCATCCGAGTAGCACAGTGAGACATAACAACCACATCTGACAACACCTTCCCCAACCTCTCCCTTCTTCTCGGGCTCAAATCACTTTGC